CAGAGGTGTGCACGAGAAAGTTGTACTATAAATTGGAACACTGTTCATCTCTGTGTCAAGTACCATTTTAATGCTTTTAATGTTCAAGTACCCTTTTTAATGTTTTGAAAGAAAGTTTGTAGTAATGTAATGAAGGGCAAAATTGGATGAATCGTAGTTATAATTCATCACTACACTGATACATATGTACAGCCTCAGTGGAAGGCACTAACACACCTACCATAATTACAGAAATTTATTAGTAATTAGTAGTACAAAATAGCTAGCCTGCCCCAGGAGATCTCAGGCTAAACTCTAAAGTGGCCTACTTTCCAGTACAGATGCACAGTACAAGCATATTTCTAAGCCCTAACATTCCATGGGGGCTGAGCTAGATTTCTGCACCACCCCCAAAAGCTTTCCATCTCCCAACCAAAGTCCAGCCTGATTTTTTACACTTTTCTCATTTTTTTCAGTGAAAATGATTTTTTTGCTTTTTCATTAATTACATTTTATTGAAAATTTCAGCGACGTAAAGCATAAACGTTAGCGTTTTATGTAGCTTTTATGCAATACTTTTGTATAAAATGGCACATATTATTTTCCTATTAAAAATAATTACATGCAAAAGTCAAAAATTATATTCTCCCTTGGGAATTAAAATTGGGCGCTACATTTAAAAATCTATTTATATTTACGTGTATTTTTAAAAGCGTTTTGGACCTTTCCCGCCAAATTCCATAGTCCATACAAAATTTTACGTGTTTTTTTTCTGAAAATTGTACACAAAATTTTAAGAGATTGACAATTTTCTGTATAAATTAAAAAGGTACAAACGTGATTCGGAATTTTTACAAGATTGATGTCTTTTATACCGGCAAATTTGTTAGAATCTGACCTGTTGTATTTTGATCATTAATATTTAATATTATCGTGTTCGCTTGGGTGTTGCCCAAGAACAAATATACACGATATAAAAATCCTGAAGCTTCGAATCCCTTCCAGAATTTTGCCGCTATTTCCATTAAATTTTTCAGTAAGTCTTTTTCGTTTATATATATGTCGATGCCAGTTTAGTCTTTGTATGAAATGTTAGTTTAGTCATCGACTACAACCAAACGCAAGACGAATTGAATTCATTGAAACGTCACCGAGCTTTTAAATATATTTTCAACCAAATATGCTTTTATTCGGGGACCCAACTCAAAAAGTATCCAAATCACCTTTATTACTCACCAAAGAATGTCGATCTTTCAATTTCTATGTGTTAATGCGAGTTTATTGCAAGGATTTTATGAAGAGAAGAGCTGAATTTGAAAATCAACCGGCCAAATATGGCGTGGTTTGGACTTCAAAGTTTTGTAAGAAATTGGACCAAAAATACCGTTCAAAGATAGAATTTCTACTATACGGGATAGATCTTGCATCTAACACATACTTCCTGTAAAAATACTCCAAAATTCCGCGTCAATTAGCATCTGAAAACCTAAAAACGCTCAAACGTTTTAAACGTTGGGCGAAAACAACATGTCCTTTCTTTTCTCTCGAGAAGAACTGAAGAAGCGACTTATAACACGTGACCTAACAACCTCATCTGATTGGTCAATTTTGAAAGAACAAATATCACACCAGCGCTTGCATATCATTAATGCTTCCACTATGAAAAACAAAAATCGAAAAAAGTTTGCGGGAAAATTTTAACTAATACTGTAATTTATGTAAAAGATCCTAATTCAAATGGATATTAGTTAAAATTATCAGTTGTATTACATCTCATTCCCCTCGTTATAGTCCATATTTTCACTTTTTGGTGTTTTGCTTACGGTAAGTAATATTTTCTTTCTTCCAAGTTGCTTCCATCACATTCAATCAACTTGATCGGAATTACATAACGTATCGTCTCCTCACAAAAACAACATGGCCACCACGTGTAGACGATTTTTTAAACAATTTTATTTTTCTCGCTCAAATTTAACCCTTCTCTCAACTTCAAATTACAGAACTCGCGAAAAAAATGCAAGAATATCGTTATCAACACATGCTGACCCACTTGTGAGTAAATTGCATGCATATATTTAAATATTTTAGGCGCAAAATATGGACATTTGTCATATGCGTGATGCGTCAAGTTTTAGGATAAGACATTCGGCATTGAGTTGCGTGTAGAGCCCTATACAGCGACGTTCATAGCAGTGTAGTAGCTAAACAAGATACCAACTCTTAACCCTAACCCCCAACCAATCCAATTCCAATGTGTTTACAGGGGCTAAGAGGTAGTGAAGGTCATTCACAGCCACAGATGAAAACCAGAGAAGAAAGAATGTTCCGAGGTTTACCTAAAAGAAAACCCATCGAAGGAGTAAAAGATATTGTGGTTGTTGCTTCTGGCAAGGGTGGTGTTGGCAAGTCAACCTGTGCTGGTTAGTACAGAGGAAATATCCCACTTGAAACAAATTAGTTGGTCTTGGGACCTATCACTGTCTTGATTGTTATTAAACCACCATTATTATCATCACCACCACCATCATCATCACCATCATCATCTTCACTACCACCATCATCATCATCACCATCATGATCACCATCATCACCACCACCTTATCACCATCATCACCACCACCATCATCACCATCACCACTATGATCATCACCATCATCATCATTACCATCATCATCACCATCATTATCATCATCATAACCACCAATATCATTACCACCACCACCTTTACTATCTCACCACCAGGATCATCACCAACCATTACAGTCGATTTCACGAAACTTTGACCACAAATTCTCCGAACTTTGTTGCGAAGTTCACAAGATTGTTGCGAAGTTCAAAAGTTCATAATGAGATTCACAAACCAGTTCGTAAGCTACTCATTTGATTGGCTTCTTCCAATCGACCAATCAGGGACTTTGTTTACAAATTGGCTTGTGAATTCCAATATGAGCTTCCGAACTTCGCAACGAACTTGCGAACTTCACAACGAAGTTCCGAACATTTGTGGTCAAAGTTTCGTAAAATCGACTGTAATAGCACCACTGTCTTATATTTTAGTCAATCTGGCTTTAGGACTAGCAGCTATAAATAAGGTACAGTAAGTAATTATGTTATATATTAATTAACTTTTTTACTATATATACATCCATCATATTAATCACATTATAGTACTGTATCTCTGTCTTCCAGAGCAAAAGTGTTGGTCTACTTGATGCTGATATTTATGGACCATCAATTCCAAAAATGATGAACCTCTCAGGAAATCCAGAGCTTAATCAAGGTTGCTTATAAAAAATTGTTTTGTAGAATGTACTGTATTTACTCTTTCTATTGTTTGCCAATTGTTGTTTTTTGTTTTTAGACAACAAGATGGAACCTTTGAAAAATTATGGAATTTCATGGTGAGAGACAAGTTAGCTCTATTAATCATGCTTTATTCTTTACAGAGAAAAAAGTTTGCAAGCCAGTCATGTTGACTGGTCATTTCTCATGACCAACGTCAAAGCATTGATTAATTTTGTTCTCTTTTCATGTTTAGCATGTCAATGGGATTTTTAGTTGATGAAAAATCTCCAATAGTTTGGCGAGGATTAATGGTGATGTCTGCGCTGGAGAAATTACTGAGACAGGTGAACTGGGGGACATTGGATCTCCTTGTTGTGGATATGCCTCCTGGAACAGGGGATACACAGCTCTCTGTATCCCAAACTGTTCCTCTATCAGGTACATATTGAGATTTGCATAAATGTAGTACTTTATGGTCATTACCATAAAGTACTACATTTATGCAAATCTCAATATGTACCTGATAAAGTGCCTCATCAGTTCACTCAAAGTTATCTATGGGATGTTTCACATTTCTTTTTACTTCAGGTGCTGTCATTGTTACAACACCTCAGGACATTGCTCTTTTGGATGCACGAAAGGGTGCCGAGATGTTCCGAAAGGTCCACGTCCCTGTACGTAACACCAAGTGATCAAATGTGAAACTGAACCTCTAGGGAGAACAGTTTAGAACTGATAGAGCTATCCAGTATAAATAAAGTTAGTTTAGGTTTCTTCCTATAGTAACACTGGATCAATAAGAGATGATCCTTACTGGACCTTTAGGAAGAACAGTTTAGAACTGATAGAGCTATCCAGTATAAATAAAGTTAGTTTAGGTTTCCTCCTTTTGTAACACTGGATCAAGAAGAGATGATCCTTACTGGACCTTTAGGAAGAACAGTTTAGAACTGATAGAGGTATCCAGTGTAAATAAATTTAGTTTAGGTTTCCTCCTGTAGTAACACTGGATCAATAAGAGATGATCCTTACTGGACCTCTAGGAAGAACAGTTTAGAACTGATAGAGCTATCTAGTGTAAATAAAGTTAGTTTGGTTTGCGTTTTCTACTTACATAGTTTTCTTTGCGTTTTGACCTCTAGGGAGAACAGTTTAGAACTGGTAGAAAAATCTGCTACTAATAAAGTTACAGTAGTCTGGCAATATTGCTTTTCTTGTCCAGGTACTGGGTGTTATTGAGAACATGAGTCACTATGTCTGTCCTAAATGTAACCATAAAGAATTCATATTTGGTGAAAATGGCGGAAAGACTATAGCTGAAGATATGAACTTAGAAGTACTAGGTATCATTGTTGGCGGAAAGACTATAGCTGAAGATATGAACTTAGAAGTACTAGGTATCATTGTTAGTCCGTTTCGTAAAATATATCTGTGGGATAAGAGGTGCTGGACGCACAGTGATTAGTGCAAGCGCCCAAATTCACCTCTGTCACCGTGGTCTGATTTCCGCAATGGAGACCTTAAGTAAAAAAGATTGACATTTTCGAATCGTATTTTGAGGTCAACTGTTGGCTGTTAAAATTGAAGCCTGGATTAGTTACTTGGCTGTCGAAAACCTGTAGAACTTTACCTTCAAATGCGACTTGAAGTTTGCCATTTGCTGTTTTATCTAAATGTCAATCGTAAGTTGTCTGATTATAATTTCACCTCAGTCGCATGTGAGAAGAGTGCTTCCAGTTTGACACCTTGACTCTGCAAAACATCACAGATTTCGTCAGGTACTCCGGTTTGCTATAATAGCACTAACCAACGAGGGATAAATAATCCTCTTCTACCTGTACTACCGTGACTCAATTCAGTCTTTATCATGTCTCTGCTGTAGGAAACATACCTCTTCATATATCCATTCGTGAAACATCAGATACGGGCACTCCAGTAACAGTCTGCCGCCCAAGTAGTCCTGAGGTACAGTATATATACACATTGAGAAAGGCTTCGGCTTGGTAGGAATATAACTACTTGAAAAACACAAGGAGAACTTTGACGTTTCGAGCGAAGGCCCTTAATTGTCGGGAAGTTAGTTGACTCGAAACGCCAAAGGCAAAGTTCTCCTTGTATTTTTCAGGTAGTTGTATCCCAATCAATCCGAGGTTTCTTGCCACTACCTACACTGGTACAGGTCGTTCAAAATTATATATAATTATTATACACATTGGGCACGGTTTATCATCCATAAAAGAATCTTTTTACAAAAGGAATGTCACACAAAATATCTACAATCTCAGAAATAGCGAAAATGATTTAACCCTTCTAAAACCTAGAACAGAGTATCTATAAGAAGAAGCTTTAAGTACAGCGGCGCCATGTTATGGAATAACCTTTCGTCTGCAGCTAAATCGACGGATACTCTCGATTGCTTTAAAAGAGAGATATGTGCAAGCTAGAGGAAGATTCTGTGCTACTCGTGCTAAACTAACTCTTGAGTCTTGTATATAGTATTTTTAAATTGTACTTTTTAACTTAATTATTTTCTTTGTATTTTTTGTGTGACGCCCCTCGTGGAAATCAGCACTATGTTGACGAGGCTAGCGTTTTAAATAAAGTTTTTACCTACCGTCGTCTCGAGCCCCGTTTTAAGAAACGAACTTTTACTTTCAGGCTATGGTGTACAAACGCATTGCGGCAAAAATTGCAAGCAAGTTACGATGGTGAAATGGATGATGCAAGGTTTGTGGATAAAACTACAAGTAATATCTGCAGTATAAAATACGGTTATATAGCCTCGGTTCCAGCCGGTGAGATTTTGGAGCGCAGCGTTCAAAAGGAAAACTCGCGATTACATTTGGTCTGAAAAATACAAAGCGTCAAATTGCAAAAGTGCCTGAAGTAAAGATAGAAATTGTCCTGCTGTTTTGTTCGGCATTCGAGAATAGCTTTACAAAAAGAGACGGTAAGATTGCTGTGTAACAGTCGCTGACGAAGAGGGAAATAACTGATAATTTTAGCAAACCGGAGAAATACTAGGATACAACTTTTCAAACGCCATTTTGACAATGTGAATTATAACGTATTATGTGTAGAAACTCCAAGACAGAATGAGAAAAAATAGCTAACATATTAATGTACAAAAATATGTTTTACATGGTACACGTATAGTAGTTAAGAATATGGTGGACGTAAATGTATTTATTATGTATATGAAAGGTAAGACAATGATGCTCATTAAGATTGGCAGCCTGCATTATAGTCATTATTTTTTCAATTTACTTATAGTATTTAACACTCCTTAAGTAATACTTATATTTACAGTATTGTGCATTTTTAGTACAGTATATGCTTACTCCTTATTCGGTTTCCATACTGCTGTTGCTTGATGACGAGAACACATACGGCACAGAGCGCGCTGACTCCCTTGAGCTTTCGCCAACATCAACCGAACCATTCGCATTTCCAGATGATTCGTTTCCAACTTGTCGAGCACCGTGCGCAACCTGTCCCGAACCGTGAGCAACGTATGCCGATGCGTGTCCAACCTGGCCTACACCGTGCGCAACTAATCTAGAAGCGTGCGCAACTTGTCCAGAACCGTGCGCAATTTGACCGTAAACGTGCGCAACATTTCTCGAAGCGTGCATAACTTGAGCGGGCACGTGCGCATTTTGCCCGGAACCGTGTCCGAATGAAACGGAACTGTATGCAACTTGTTGCGCAACGTTTGAAGCCTGTGCAACCGAGCCAGACCCGTTTCCAGCTTGCCTCGATGCATTTGCAATTTGTGCGAAAATTTGGTCAATTTGCATAGAATGCGAACCTTCTCCCATTTGCGCGGTATTTTCTCCGCCGCACTTGTTTCGATTGGGTAACATGTACGTTCCATTTTGAATACGTTCGAACGCGCGTTCAACATAACCGCGCGCACGCCAGCAACGTTTGAGCATAAACTTTTCAAATCCCTTGGGTCCTCCATGGACCCTCATCGCCGCGACTTGAATGTCTCTCCAACGGTAATAGCATGTCCCATATTCCACTCTGGTCACTATGTGTTCCGGGAGGTCGCTTGATTTCAGACACCAAACACGTAGAGTCTTTCCTAGCGAGATTTCCCCCAGTTTGTAGCGGAGGAACGGCTCATGGTAGTTTCGAATCCATTCTGGGAGCAGCGGCGGGCTCGTGTTGAACACAACCCAAGTCCAGAGCCAGCTTGGGAAGACGCCATATCTGAATGAATGCATTGGGAGAAGTTACTGATCAATTGTCTGAAAGCCAATTTACAATACTCTACACAGCTTTTACCTAAAACTGTCGCATGCAACCTGCTTACAACCTGAGTTGTACTGTGTAAATCAAGCACACAACTCACCTGCGACAACGTAGACAAGTTTTGTACTTGATTTACACAGTACAACTCAAGTTGTAAGCAGGTTGCATGCGACAGTTTTAGACAAAAGTTGAGTAGCGTAAATCGGTCGTAGGCCCCGATTACACTATACCGGATTGCATCGAAGCGACGCGATTTCTGTACCGGATTGGCCTCTTGTTTACACTACGCCACTGTAATCCGGTACGTGCCGCGGCGCGAAAATCACTTCGTTTTGGAGGTGATATGAAAAGTAATCCGGTACGTGCTGTACCGGATAAAACCAAGTGTAATCAAGCAATCCGGTACGCTCCGGTACTATAAATAGGTTTCGGCAAGTATATTTTAACATTGTCGTTTTATTTACTCGCTTTTAAATATTTTATAGCTGTTGTTTGCTTCGCTTTACAATTATTTATTATTTCTAGCGAAGACAAATAAAGATAGTGGTAATAACATTGACTTCTTGCTTTCAAAAGGGCAAAATTTAATGAAATACTCGTCAATTTTCGATAAGAGCGAGACAAAGCAACGTCGGGTGGTCAAGCTTTGTAAACAAAGTTATATTCACAAGTACTGTCGAGAAAACGTCCGAAATGGTCAAAACTTATTATTTGTTTCCGTGGCAACGATAAAAGATACGAGCTGGCGACAGAGCGAAGCGGCATAGTGTAAACACCCTTGATTTTGGCTTCGGTGTGAAAATTGATCCGGTATAGTGTAATCCCAGCCTTAATAAAGCTGCGTTGCGAGTAGGTGGAATTTGATTCAACATTTGAATGCGTTTTTGAATACAGCAATTATTAGTAAAATTAGTATAACTGTAGTATATATAGACCAACTAGTATGCTTTAAATTAAAGAGGATACTTTTCTTTCGAATACAATAGGTATGAAAGATATTTTAATAGTAAATGCGGATTTGTGCCTTCAGAACATCGCCCCACCCATTCAATCAGCCTGATGGAATTTTTTTAATAAGTGTTTTAACGTCACTCGTCATGTAGTGAACGCCTTTGAGTAGATCCTAACTTCTCAAAGGCCCAATTTATGGACTTATATAATGCTTGGTCACCTTTGTTCCATCTAAGAATTATATGTAAAGCCTGGTTTAGACTATCGAAGTTTCTGTGATCACAGTAGGAATTTTGCATGGGTAAATTCTAAGTTTTGAAAGATTTGTAAGAAATGTTTGTCAAGAACTGCCTCAGTGTTGAACTGCACGTCAGTCTGTTCCCTGAAACATTTTTTACAAATGCTTCAGAACTTAGAATTTACCCATGCAAATCACAGAAACTTTGATAGTGTAACCAGTTCTATAAACTAATTCTATAATTACCTATTGTTTCCACACTCTTGATACTCGTCTGAGAGATGAAACTTCAAAATTTCCCGCGACTGGTAAATACATTTATAAAGATGTCGAAAGCATGCAAACGGCTGAGGCGACACTAAGCCGATTGTGAAATCCATTAGACACACGTGAGACCACAGCTGTTGATCGTAGCTGCAAATTCGATAAAGTTTTCGACATGTTTGTGCGAGTCTTAAAACTGACCTCCCATCCAAGGAGAAAAATATTAACATTAGTATTTCGTCGCATTGCGAAGTCAGGTGATCAAATTCTGCCATTTGATTGGCTCTTGCGCCACGCGCTTTTCAAAAGTTTGTGACGTCATAAATTCTAATTTCTAATCATGGCTGATTATTGGTTTTGTAATTAACTTCGGTTGCGCATTAATTATAGCGTTAACGAGTATGGAAAAAAATTATAGCTATTCAGTTAAATAAAGTTAGTTTGGATAAATCTAGTTTATATTATTTTATTTTTCTAACTTTATGTATTTTTAATACATTAACAAATAACATAACAAAATATACTTTAATGTCTATTTTAAAGACAAAGGTCTTTTAGCAAACATTGTTTTGAACAGCCTATTTAATATGAATGTTTCTGTATGAGATAAAATTATCCCTCATTTCGATTCTCAACAAAACATTTTGGTACGATACAACAATCTTTAGTTGCACAAACGGTCTAAGGATTCAACTCAACTCCTGAAGTACTTTGCTTGTAGATTCTTGAGATACCACTAGAAAATATAAATGACAATTTCAATAAAAAAAGCCATACATTTTACATCGTATCATCATTTTCTATAGTCATGCGAGTGGCGAAGGTTGGCAAAACCAGGAAACATTGTTTCCTGGCCATGTTTCCCAAAGGTGGGCAAACCAGGAAACATTCCTAGCCATGTTTCCCAAAGGTGGACAAACCAGGAAACATTGTTTCCTAGCCATGTTTCCCAAAGGTGGACAAACCATGAAACATTGTTTCCTAACCATGTTTCCTAAAGGTGGACAAACCAGGAAACATTGTTTCCTAGCCATGTTTCCCAAAGGTGGACAAACCAGGAAACATTGTTTCCTAACCATGTTTCCCAAAGGTGGACAAACCAGGAAACATTGTTTCCTAGCCATGTTTCCCAAAGATTGTTTCCTAGTTTCCAAAACACAAACCAGGAAACATTGTTTCCTAGCCATGTTTCCCAAAGGTGGACAAACCAGGAAACATTGTTTCCTATCCATGTTTCCCAAAGATGGACAAACCAGGAAACATTGTTTCCTAGCCATGTTTCCCAAAGGTGGACAAACCAGGAAACATTGTTTCCTAGCCATGTTTCCCAAAGATTAGAAAACATTGTTTCCTAGCCATGTTTCCCGAAGGTGGACAAACCAGGAAACATTGTTTCCTAGCCATGTTTCCCAAAGGTGGACAAACCAGGAAACATTGTTTCCTAGCCATGTTTCCCAAAGGTGGACAAACCAGAAAACATTGTTTCCTAACCATGTTTCCTAAAGGTGGACAAACCAGAAAACATTGTTTCCTAACCATGTTTCCCAAAGGTGGACAAACCAGGAAACATTGTTTCCCAAAGGTGGACAAACCATGAAATTCCTAACCATGTTTCCTAAAGGTGGACAAATCATGAAACATTGTTTCCTGGCCATGTTTCCCAAAGGTGGACAAACCAGAAAACATTGTTTCCTAGCCATGTCCCCCAAAGATTAGAAAACATTGTTTCCTAAAGGTGGGCAAACCAAGAAACATTGTTTCCTATAGACAATTTGAGGAAACATTAAGTTTTCCGGTTTGTTAACAGAGCGTATAGGTTACATTGTGTTAGGTTATATAGTGTATGGTATCAACTCATAAGTTTAAAACCAGTTGTCAACCTTACCGCTCGTCCTTGGCAACGCGGTAATAATATTCAACAAAGTCTGCCTGGCTCAGCAAGTCAACAAAATGTTCATCATGAGTGATGACAACCAATTGGAAATTCTTCTGAGGGTTTCGAGTTTGAACAATGCTAAAAAGTAAAACATTCGCCTAGTTAAGTGTGAGTAAGGGTTTGGAGCGAGCCTGGAACATGTTCTCTCTGTGATCACTGTAACAGAACAAAACATTTTCTGCGAATATTCTGGATGATCACATTCAAAGATTTTTTTGAGCCAACAATAGTACATAATTCGAAAGTATGTAGATACATAATTAGACAAATAATCGAAGCACAGCCTATTTAGGCCGCGTTTACATGAAACCGGGACGAAGTCAAACCAGAATGAAAATTGAAATTCTCAACATGTTTTACATGAGACCGGTACGAAAATCACAAAATTTTCAATTCATTCCCCTTGCTAGGCAATTCTCTTTTTTAGATGGCTTTTATTAGCATGTGCTGTTCCAATGTCAAGGCTACAGCCGAGACCCGTCTGAAATGTATTTGTGTTTACATTCATCCTAGTCTGAATTCCTCCCGGTCTGAAGTCAGTTGGCTCGGTCCAGCAGGCGGAATGACTTGAGAGCGGTCTGAGTTATTTTGGTCCCAGTCTCATGTAAACATCTATTATAAATAATACTATGACCGAAACGAAATGGTCCCGGTTTCACTTTGTTCCGCTCTCATGTAAACGGGGCCTTAGAATAGCAAAGCTGACTTTGCATGTCCTGTAATTCTCCTGTTTCACAATTTCTTAACACATAAAAAAGACAAAGGAAACATTTTTCGGTTTCATGGTAAATTACCAACATTTTACCCGATGCTGCCGGTATTGAAAAGGACACTCTCTATCCAGTGTCTTTTCAGACCAGTGTTGATATAAGCACCCACCTAGCCAATTGGTGTGCAAGACTTTCAATATTTTCTTCATCAAGATTGGTAGTTGGTTCATCGAGTGTCAAGACTCCACAATTGAGACAAAATGTTTCCGCTAGTGCCAGTCTTATGATCAACGACGCAAGAACCTTTTGACCAGCGCTGCATCTACCACGCATGTCCAATGCTACGTCACCTTTTATCATTACCACCTGAAATGGAATATTAAAAATGTTAAAAATGTGAAAGGGCACCTCGGTTACCAGGTTCATCTGAACGGCCTCTTGATATCTGTCAGTGACTTGCCTTGTAGTTGTAACTTCTGCGACTTGTTATGGACGAATTTTCTGGGTCTTCATCAGAACGTATTTCGATTGTATCAATATCTATGAAACACAATAGGCCATTTATCTGATACAGTCTTTTGGGAGGTGCAAAACTCACCTCCCATTTCCACAACTCCCCTCTCCACACCTCCCCTGTCTGCACCTCTCCCCTCCACACCTCCCCTGTCTGCACCTCTCCCCTCCACACCTCTCCCCTCCACACCTCTCCCCTCCACACCTCTCCCCTCCACAGCTCTCCCCTTCACACCTCTCCCCTTCACACCTCTCCCCTTCACACCTCTCCCCTTCACACCTCTCCCCTTCACACCTCTCCCCTCCACACCTCTCCCCACCACACCTCTCCCCACCACACCTCTCCCTCAAAATCGGGCAAAGTCTTGGACTCGGGTTAAGATCCGTGCAAGTGGTGTCTTGAGCTGACCCCTTGAAGAGCTAATTCCTTAACCTTGACATATCACAAAATGAATCATTACCACTGCCTTTGTACGTATTTGTCCAATATTCCTTGACAATCTTGTTGATCTCCGCCATTTTAATGCTATGAAACTTCATGATAGCCCTAAAATACGACACGTCGCATGAATTAATAAAACTATAGGCCCTCTGGCAGGAATTAAAATTAAAATAATGAATTATACCGGTCTAAAGCTTTGTAGTATTTGTCCAGGTCATCGTTTGCTAGTTCAGTTGTCTAAAAACGTGGAAAACAATAAAAAAGAAACCATCACTGGAGTACATCACTATCTGTGCATATACACTTGACTTGCCACTCGAAGTATTGTGAGTTTACTTGACTTGGAAGAAAGGATGTGTGACTTGAATTGGACTTGCAAAATATGGCTTGTACAATACAACTCTGCAATTATACAAACCTTAATTTCAATCAATTTCTTACGATGTTTACTTTCTGCATCTTTGAATAAAGAACCTTCAAGATCCTTCTGAAATCTCTGAATTTCCCTTTCATAGCCAGTCTGCATTCCTTCGCATGTCGCTTTCTGGAAACCAACAGAAATTTAGTCCCGAGAGAAAATATTAAAACGTGCACCATAATGATTGTATAAACTACACACGTAAAAATTTCACAACTTGTCAACAAGATGTGTTCGCAACAGGCTTGTAGCAAGCTTGTCAGCAAGTTGTAACAATGCTGTTATTTTATCAAGTTGCTACAAGGTTGTCAAATTGCTGTTGAATTGCAGGACGATAACAAGTTGTCGGAACAACTTGTGACAAATCTGTTGAGCTCAACAACCTTGTGGCAACTTGTCAACAAGCTGGGAACAAGCAGTGCGAACACATCCTGTTGACAAGTTGTTGGAACAGCATTGGTCTGCTGCAGGTTTGTTAAAACTTGTGCGTTTTTACGTATGTAGTAACTGCACGTTGCAATTTTCCCTTTACTCCGTAGGTTATATATACAGTCAACTCTGGGTATGGAGTCGTCACTGGTCCACAACATATCCAGTATAAATAAAGTTAGTTTAGGCTTCCTCCTGTAGTAACACCGGGGCAATGACTGGTAGAAAGAACAATTTAAAGCTGATAGTGCTATCCGGTGTATTTAAAGTCAGCGACAAATATAACCTGCTTGCGGTATTCTTCCAATCTTTTCATCAAATTATTTTGCTCTCTAAATGCAACGAAATAATGTTAAATGAAATAAAAGCGCAATCCATTATTATAGTATAATTTATCAAGTTATCAATGAGAGTTATCAATGAGAATCCATGCACCTTCGTAATTTGTCTATATCCCCGACTCTTTCCTGTTCTTCTCTCGTTTCATTTATTTTTTCATCAAGTTTTGAAATTTTCCCCTCGTTCTCAACGAATTTTATGTTGTCCTGTAGTTCTCTGGCGCGAACCTAAAGTAAATAAATATTAGGGTCGGTGATTCCAGTGGGCAAAAGCTAGGTAGCGTCGGGAAACCGGAGACCAAGAAATGGTCCTTGATGGACCTCTAGGCCGAACAGCTTAGAACTCATAGTTTAGGATTCCTCCTGTAGTAACACTGGATCAAGATAAGATCCTTACTATACGGAGAACAGTTTAAAACTGGAAGAGCTATCCAGTATAAATAAAGTTAGTTTAGTTTAGGTTTCCTCCTGTAGTAACACTGGATCAATAAGAGATGACCCTTACTGGACCTCTAGGGAGAACAGTTTAGAACTGATAGAGCTATCCAGTATGAAGTTAGTTTAGTTTTCCTCCTGTAGTAACACTGGCAGGGACGTAGCGACCGGGGGGTGTGGGGGGGTGTGACACCCCCCCAACTAAGACGATTTGAAAATTTCAGGTAAATCCATGAAAAACTGGCATTATAATAAATCAGGTAAAAAATCTTGAAAGCCCATAACAATAACAGGCAGATATTAATAGAGGATTGAAATGCGGAAAATAGATGAGGTTTTAATTCTTTATGGCTTCATACGTTGATACGTTCAGAGATTTCCGTTGTTTCAATGTAGCCAGGCTTTATTTTACGAAAAGAATATGTTGTCAATTTTACTATTTCCATCGGCAAAAAAAACAGAATTTTTTCGCTAAGTAACATGCGCTTCCGGTTTTGGCTCTTTACACAAGGTCAAGGTACGTGCAAGAAATTATATTAATTTCATCTACTTTTTGATAATAATGTAGTGTATTTGAAAGAATAGAATTATTTGTTTGCTTAGATTAATACAGCGACAGGGATATGATATCCAGATGTAAATTTTGAACGTCTGTATGTGTATGTGTGATGTACATGTGTGATGTGTATTGTGCGCCGTGTACTTTGTCATATTTTTACTTATGTAGTAGTAGTTCGTTAATAATTGTACACAAATGGCCGATATGGCGACATATATACGCAATATTCGTCTAATATTTAAACTACTAAAGGGTTGTCTCGTAGATTTGTAACATTGTTGAATAGTTTAGGTTGAATGAGCCGTTACGAGGGCATTGTTTTAGCACTACTGTTCTCTATATTATACGTGCATAATCTTTATGCATTATTTATTACACAGTGAACAACGTGAACAACGTCTTGAAACTTGATGTTAACCTAAGTATGTGACTTTTTGTGATTTTTGGGCAAACAAAAACGAGGATTAATGCAGAAACAAATTGGTCTTAAGCATGGGCGTACCGGATGGAAAAATTTAGGGGGGCGGGAAGAAATTTGCCCGACTTTTCCGGATTTTGCCCGACAAGTACCGAAAAAATTTTTTCCGGAATTTGTTTTGGCGACCTCCCCCACCCCGTCGCCAAAAAAATTTCGGTCAGTGTACCATTTCAGGGGTCAAAATTTTTTTCCGGACATACCATAATTCTCCGGAACCTACAAAATTTTGGAAAATTTCACAACATTTTCCGCAAAATTTACAGAATTTGTCCCATTTATTTTTTTAATTAACCAAAATTGCCCGACTGTTCAGCGAATATTGCCCGACTGCCCAAAAAACTGGGGGGCTACCGCCGCCCGGTGCGCCCATGGTCTTAAGAACACTTTTAATCCGTTCCTCTTTGTATTGCATTCAGAAACACCAGAAACAAAGCCCAGCATTACACAGCGAATTGTCCTTTTTCTTTAAATATGCGCTGACGAATGGAAGAAGAACGTCAGCCGGCCACAAGGTCTTGAGGCAAAACCCATGTCATGTACGATCGCAGGGACATTGCTCTTAGGGTGGCCAAGGGGCATGGTCTTTTCAAGTTGGCTTCAGAGCTTTATAAACTATTTCTGACAGCCGCCCCTGCCGTTGTGAAAAATGAGAGATCATTCAGTTTACTGAAGATTGTAAAAAGTTATTCACGCAATAAAATATCTGGAAAACGTTTGAATGATTGCATGATCCTTGCCGCTGAAAAAAATATCACTGATGTCTTTGATGTTACTGCGATCACGAAAAAATGGTCAATCTTGAAAAACCGCCGATTGCTTGAAAAGAATAACTTACTATTGAAGGTTAAAAACATTAGTTAACAAATAACTACTATGTAACATTATTGTTCATTGTATAGGGAAACGCAGTTCCAGTTCAGCTAAAAATTATCTTTATTATATAAATTATATCAATTTACACCTTTTCCCTACATAAAAAAGGCGGATGGACTGCTTCGACAAAAACTTGTTAAATTGACTATAGTTATTGGAAAGCCGAGAGGTAACTAATCAATGTGATCATGGTATTTTAGATTTAACTACCTAATTGATAAAATGAGTGGAGAGTTCTATTCGGAGTTCGGAGTACTCGGTGTGTATATGCTCGTGTTCTTCTCGTGTGGCTTATACTCTTTAATTTAGAAGAACAAAAATAACCAAACATATTCTAATCGGAGAAAAACTAGATTGAAAAAGCAAGAAAAAATGTTGTAAAAATAGATGTGGGTTAAATATCTAGGTGATAACTGCGCAGGGGAGAAATGCACCACAACATTGCAGTGCCCAAAGATAGGGGGTTTATCTTTCAGGTAAATTTTTACAATAGTGTAAAATCAGGTAAATTACTGTATTGCACCCCCCCAACCAGCACACCTTCGCTACGTCCCTGTTCGCCAGAACAGTATAAGGACTATCAAAGTGTTAAAAATGCAATGAAACTCGATGAAGGTCGTGGTAGATTACATTGACTAAAGTGGATTTAATTTACGGTTCACTATTATAGTGTTCAAATGATTTTTTTAGCTGTATATATTTACTATTTTTGTTGTACAGTATGCAATTGATATACCATTAGCAATAAATACGCCCGTATTCAAAAAGCCTACTCACACTCACAGTCAATCAGTGAAGGTTCAATATGATCTTCTATTAGGTGTCAGTCCAGTTTTTGAACAGCTGGAGGGTTAGTGTCGTACATTAATATGTGACTACTCACTCTCCAGCCATTCAAAAACAGCATTTACACACAAGAGAAGCTCATATTGAATCTCCATTCATTGAGTGTGAGTGAGCTTTTAGAATACGGGCGATAGAATGCAAATACATGTTGTCTTATAATTTTATACTGTAAGTTGAAGTGAGCTGATACAGACAGTTGAGTTTTGAAAGCATGAATATTCGAAAATTTGTTTTCGTTTGTTATAAGGATTTATTAATATTAAACGTACCCTTGAATACGTTTATGTTTATGGCAACTATATTCGCTTTGTTTTTAATAATATGACAGTGTTTGCATGAAATATCTCAAGCCAAATTGATTAGTCTGTAGACAATAGCAAACGGCAATATCTTCTATTTTGGCCGACTGGACGCATTAATGTTCTAACTGTAGTTTCGATGCAGAAATCTTTCTCAAGCACTCATTGCTATATGTATTTTGATGAGTAAACGAGATGACTCTTGAGTCTTGAATATATTTGGACATCGCAAGAGTTAATTAAAATAAATCCATGCAGTATTCCGCGTAAGGACTCGGACGAACGTTGATATTTTTAGCCTTATTCTGTGAATTTGAGTTTTCGATAAATGGACCTGACTCAAAGGGGCGTTTTTAAAAATAAGGCATGCTGACAGGCGTTTATTTCACTCGAAGGTCTCCAATAATAAACGTCTCTTCGCAGGCTAGCGCCCGTATTCTAAAAGCTCACTCACACTCAATGAGTGGAGGTCCAAACTGAGCTTCTCTTGCTGGTTTTGAATAGCTGGAGGGCTAGTATCATAAATTACTCGGTGACTACTCGCCCTCCAGTTATTCAACAACAGCATGGCACTCAAGAGAAGCTCATATTGAACCTCCACTCATTGAGTGTGAGTTAGCTTTTAGAATACGAGCGTTACACTCAATGAGTGGAGGTTCAATCTGAGCTTTTCTTGAGTGACATTGCTGTTTTTGAATAGCTAGATGGTGAGTAGTCAGATAGTAATTAGGTACGAGACTAACCTCTAGCTATTCAAAAACAGCAATGATACTCGAGAGAAGCTCAGATTGAACCAAACTCATTGATATGTGTTTATTCACCTCGACGTTGCGCGCCTCGGTGAATAAATCACATATCCCCTCGTTGCCTCAAAATAACCGTTTCATAATTTAGTGTTTTTTCCTCCATTTTTCTCTCAAATTTAGCAAAAGTAGGATATTGGGTCGTATAGGAGAACGTATCACTAATAAAATTTCTAGCAATAACGGGATAATCGCTGTCAGTAAAAATTATTGGGCAATTATTGTGGATAATGTGGGAACTTAAAAGATGAAGACAGCTGATGTCCAATCTAAGATACTAGAACGAAATATTTTAAACGATGAAAAGTAGTTCGAAATAGTGCACCAAAAATAAGTTGTAAGTAAACAATTCTTCAAAATATGCTTCTTAAAATGGATGTCAAAATTAGCTAAGTACAGTATGAAACTTCAAGACAGATCAGTTTAATTTAAATATCGAATAATATAATCCCCACAATATAAGTGTCCCCTCGCCTATATACAACACAATAGAAACAGTTTAAGGTGGCTCCCTAGAGTTTTTTAATTTACTACACTATAGTATTCAGGAGACTCCTGTTTCTTTACTTTACATGACATGAAAACGAAATTTATTGGACACCTTGAGAATGTTCTCCTGAACATTGCGAATTGCTACTTTTGTGTTAAAAATATGTTGTCATGGCAACAGCATGCTTAGAATAAAGCTCAAAATTTGTCTCGTTCAGGTCATTTTAAAAATTCCCTTCGGTGAAATTTTTTAAAACTTTGCATAAGAGATAATACCTGTATAATGATTTTTTCCCCTCAATTTAAAAAAATTAAATCGATACGTTTATTAGAAAATTTAAAAAACGTCAAAAATCTATATTAAAAATTTTCCCTTCGATTTAATTTTTTTAAAAAAGGATATTGCACTTGTTGTGCCTATATGAAAAAATGTACAAAGTTTTAAAAAATTTTACCGAAGGAAAACAGAGAAATTTGGGTTTAATTTTGGCAATTTTTACTAGATTTTTACGCGAACAATTTAATA